AAAAGAACTTTCTATCACCTTTTCTATGTAACAAACCCACCCACCTGAAATAAAAAGCTGAATAGTTATCTATAAAAATGAATTTTTTTTTATATTAAAAGAATGCAAATTTACCCAGTGTCTGGTTCATTTTCACCCCTGCAATTGTTCCCCATGGATTTTATAGTATCTGCCATTTGTCTTGCAGGATTTTGAAAGCAATGATTATAAAATCCTTTAATGTCATTCCGTAATGCGGCCATCCTGTCCGAGTTCTTCTGCACATCTAATTCATTCCACTGTGCATACACATTTGTACTGAATAAACATTTTAATAATTGCTGAACACACTGAACAGTTGCAGTTGGGGATAATACGACAGTGCTCTGTAGATAATATAATATTTCTTCTGCAATTTGGGCTGCTTCATTGATGGATATAATTTCAAGAATTTGCGATAGAACATCTAAAATTGCATTCAACAGAGACAAATACATTTCGCTGGCATGCGGTTCAAGAGTGGCTGAGTAATTCAAATGAGCTGCTTTAAGAATTTCATACATTTTCATGTAATGCGGTATTGAAACAAATGCACCCATTTGCTCTTTCCCGAATTTCAAGCTTCCAAATCTTTCTTTCTCTTTTAACTTCGGTTCAGGTATTATCTTTTTCTTTGGAGATAACGATTGCGTCGATGATAAAGACGGTAACGTTGTTTTTGTACTACCTTGTAATTGTACATCGTCAATTATGTGAACAAATATATTTAATACTCTTGTAATGTGCATTAACAACAATTCTATTTGTTTATCTTTAAACGTTCCCCACCAACTTTTGGTCGGATCGTTGGGCTTAAAATTGCAAAAAGCTAGACCTGATGCAAGATTGCCAGCAAGAAGTACCAAGTGCTTATGTGTTAATAAATCTAAGCTTATAGGGGATGACGAAAGTAACGACAGAGCTAAAGATAAAAGGCCGTTGCTCACGGACGATGGCATCATATCACTTGTAAAATTTGATTCGCTAATATCTAATCGACTACCGTTCTTTTTGTGAGACTTCTTTAACAATGTTTTTGGTGAAATACAATCCCATCCTCTAATATATATTGTAGTGTTATATACATTACTTAAACGAAACAAAGCTCCGCAACACCCATACACTAAATACTTCGATGATTGTACTCCAAGAATTTCTGCCAGTATGTTGATTACAATCGACAACGAGTATTCTACATTTGAACGATAATTCGTCGAGTTATGAAAATTTAAAGCTGCAAATGGTTGTATAGACGTATTTATAAAGAATTTTTGTTTCTCTTGAATAGAAGACAGTTCTACGGAACTCCGAGTTACGGCACTCAAATATTGTTCTGTATATTGTACAGCTTTCCGCGTAATAACATCATCGTGCGGCTGTTGGAAATGCAATAAGGGAATACTCCTTAAAAAAAAGGAATTAAATTAGTCGAGAAGACTTGAAACTTAATAATCAAAAAATAAACTCAGATAACTACTTTACAATAGCATCTGATGCTGCGTGTCTAATTCTTTGATCTTGGTCACCTAATAGTGTTACAATAACATCGATAAAATGTTCTTGAAACATTGATCCACCAGTTATATGTTCTATAGTAACATATGATATCTCACTCAATAATTCCACTAATTTAACTTTTACCAGAAAATATGGGTTCTTTACTAGTTGAGGTAATGCAGTTAATACAGTGATTCCATGTTTATTGTCAACAGATTCCAACAATTCTGGTAGACATAAACTGAATGCTGTTAACGTTTGTCGGCACGTGGTAGCAGAATCATCTTCCAATCCCTAATTTAAAAATATACGGATTAAAATTTTTTAATAATCGTACTTTATATGAGAATACTTACTTTTAAAAGTAATTTAATTAAATTATTTAACGATATAATTCCTTGTAATTTTTTATCACTGATTTCTGTCTCAAACTTTTTAAAAGATCCTCCATATTGAGTATATACAGATTTCAGAAAAGTACCAATAATAATTGATATATTACCTCTAATTTGAGGATCTGGATGACTTGCAAATAATAAGATATCCGTTATCATTTGTTTATTCTCATCAGAATTTGGTTCTTTGGCAACAGAAATTAAAAACAAATTCGGACAAAGTTTCAAAATATAAGCCACGCAAGTTAAAGCGAGAGATTTCACACTAACACGAAAATATTTATCCGGTATTACATGACCGACATTGCCAGTTAAAAGAAAGGATGATACCAAATAACGACAACAGAATTTTAACGGCATATCAGGATCTGTAAAAGTTCCAACGTCTATTTCTCGTAATGAGAAATCTAAAGAAAGTTTTTTAGGAGAAGCGATAGACGATGCGACTTCTTCGATATAATCCATATCTCTCGTTTCGCTTTGTAAACTCGAATAAATTTTCTCCGATTTTTCTATTTCACTTCCAACATCACTACCTTCTTCGATCGTTTCATCTGGAATAAACGAAATATAATTATTTTTCAAATGACATACATGTTCTTTAGATTATATATTTTCTCTTACTATCAATAACTCCAATTTTTAAGTCACTATAATTTTCTAAAACCTTTCCTTTCGTTTCTATAACATTATTTGCGCATTCCTTTGGAATTTGTAAATTTTGCAAAGGAGGTATAGTTTCAGAATCTAACATCCATTTTTCTATCTTTGGATTAATTTCAGGTATATCAGAATCAAGTAAATTTAATGTGTAATCAGAACTTTCTCCACAAGCAGTTGCAGCACTAGAAGTGCTTGCTTGACTTAACGATAATGTCATTTCATTTTGATTCACTGCTATTCTGCTATGTGTTAAGCCTTTGTTTGATAATAATAATGATATTAAAACTTTTGGAGGTGACTTTAAAAACTGAGTTAACGTCTCCAAAACAGCATTTATAACGTTATGATCAGAGTGCCACTTTGTATAATGTAAACATAATTCATAAATTTGTAACAAGCTATCTATCTCTATAATTTCATCATCTGGATCTTCTGAAGGATTGCATAAGTGTGGCAAAATTATTCTTATACAACCAAATATACCAATAATAGTTGCTATACGGCTTTCATCTTCGTTTATAGGCACTACAACACCTGTAAAAAAATACTATTTAATTACATAAAGTACATTTAATTAGCAAAATGTACATTAGTTGTGTTTGTATAACACTATTACCTAAAAGATGTTTCAATACATAATTCAAGAAAAACTGTGGTTTCCGGCAATTCAAACATGTTGCTAAAATCATATTTGCTGCAGCTCTGCGAAATGCTGCCTGTACAGAGGATATATTTTCAAAGAATGCTTTTAGTAATGTCTGAAAAACAAGCATAAACATGAATTCATAGTTACATTATAAAGTTTGTATTATATAACAGACATATGGAATTACCTTGACATCATTGTCTGTCATAAATGGTCCTAGTGCTTTCATAATTAATGGTAATGACTGTGACAGTGTTTCAATTACAGATTCCTCAGAACGATGTGCGATAGCTACTATACATGGTATTAAATTAGATACGTATGCTTTTCCTCTTGTAGGGCGTATCATGTGGCTAAGAAGACCAAATCTCCAAAGAGCAGCTCTTAATGTTCTAGCAGGCCCATTTCTTTTTATTTCATTGTAAAGTTCTATTTGAACTTTAACGATATTACTATCAGCCATCACCTTTCAAATAAAATATCTGTTAAAACATCTATAGATCTACTATCAAATCTAACAAAGAACAAATGAAATATAAAATACCCTTATAATTTTATTTAATGTTTCATCCGCTACCATTCTGACATCAGAGTCTTCATCATTGCACAGTGTCAGTAAAGTTTCAATTGAAAGACTAAGTACCTGAGGAAACTTGGTTGCTAGTTTGACAGTTGGTGAACATATTCCTTCTGTTATTGTCATGCAACATGTTAATTTATCTTTCCTTTTATTGAAATAAAGGATACATTAAATTTGTTAACATACTAAATTCCATAATTTCTAGTTTTTTTTATTATTATCTATATAAATTCTAACTTTACAAATTGTACATATTTAACTATGAATTATACAAATATATTACAATTACACATTCGATCAATAAATTTTGCATTACTTTATTTATACAAATATGTCAAATATTATTAAGCGATTAAAAACAATTTGTTTTTGTACCTTGCATTCGAATCTGACAGAAAAATGTTCGATTCTTGAGCTGATTTCAACGCTTCTATAGCTTTCAATACGTTATTTAAGGCTGTCATTTTGCCAAGTGTTTTTTAACAAATCGTTCCTCACTTTCTACAAATCAATCAGTTTTAACAAATTACATTTTGATAATGTAGGCCGAATTTATGACAGACACATCGTAGATATGATGCTACATGCTGCTCGGTAACATATTTATGTGTGATTCGAACATCATGCTAAAAGCAATTGCTCACAGATTTCGCTTGTGCAAAAGAACAAAGCATAAGAATATTAGACGTTTAATGCGTATTTGCCGTAAGAGCCGCTGTTTAGATACTAACCTTATCACTCTATAATAAAATATAAAACGAATATATTGTGTGTATAATCTTTATTTTATGCTCGAAAGCAAATAAATTGGTAACAATTTATTTGAACTCATTATTTGGTATTAATACAAAGCAAGCGTGTTTAAGAAAATTTTACATGAATTTTCTATTCGAACGATGTTAATATGAAACAATATTGAAACAGTGAATGCGATGTACCACGTGTGACGAGTACAAAAATAAGTATTCACAGATAATTCAAGTGATCAATTTTTAAAAGTGCAATATAGTTGATAACCCGTATAACGTACAGATTATTTTAAAACTTTGATATTTCATCCGATAAAGATGACATACAAGTATGAGTTAGAAGTAGAATTTAAAAGGCAAGTATAATAGGATTAAACGACGTGTAGAGTCGATGTCAACGAAAATACATTTAATTTTATTCGATAATGTAAGATACCGATTAACCTATCTGTTATTCGATTCTCGAGGTAGCCATATTACGTCCGGAACATTTGGATTGCGTAGGGTGTTCGAAACTTGTCTGAAAACGAGTTTGCTGTTGTCAGTGCTACGGGAACAGTTCTGGCTGCTTAACTCCAAAATTATATAAATTTGTTTATCAGTCACGTGTAATTGATAAACGACATACCAGTAAATTTATAAGTTGTAATTTATAACAATGGACTTTGTATAGGATTAGTGAGTAGGATGAACGAATTTTGGATTTCGTACCATATATTGTTGCCGAAAAGTGGAGTGCAAGAAATATTTTCCTTCATTTAAGAGTTCGAACAGCCTAACAATTTATATAAGAAGTTTTGAAACTTATCCGGATTGAAATCGTAACAACTAATTTTTCACAATGTTTTGTATACAACCGATTGAACTTTTTCAGTTAACGGCTATAAATGAAGGACAAAGGTTTGATTTACATAAAAAAGTACTTTTTAAAATATTCTTTTGTTAAGTTTATTTTGTTAAAAAAACGAATTTTCTCCCGCATTACTTCGATCTTCAGAATTTGCTTAAATTACTTGAATTGTTTGTTTAAGTCGCTATGTGTAATTAAGTTCATTAAACTTTTGAGTTACTGTATTGTACATTACATATAAAAGTCATTAATTTTAATTAATGTGTTACATTTTTAGTTAGGTTAGATTAATAGAACCGCGTTGTTCATCTTAGCATTACAAGTTTATCATTTACAATTTACAGAGCTCTTAATAATTTCTGGATGTCTAAATATGCCAGGCTGTGCAGCAGTTGGCTGCAACAATCGTAGTGAGAAAGGTTATATTATGAAATGTTTTCCACGTGATCCAAAGTTGAGGAAAATTTGGCAAGAACGTGTTGCTAGAGCTGATTGGGAACCATCAAATAACTCATTTCTTTGTCATGTGCATTTTGAATCTCAAGAGTGGTCTATAACACAAAGTGGTAGAATTAGATTGAGAAAGAATGCAATACCTTCTATATTTACTGTGACATCTAATAGAAAATCTCCTAAAAAAAAGACTAAGACATTTGATAGTAAAGGTGAAAGCATATTGCAAGGTGAATATAACATAGAATACATGGAAATTGATACAGAACATTCATCTATTGAACATTTAGAAGAGAAAGATTTGGATTTTCAGGAGATTGAAGACTCGTCTATGCAGCAATCTATTGAAAATAGTTTTAAATACACTTACAAATCTACAGAGGCTAAAAAAGAAGAAAGCGTTAAGATTAATCATCAGACACAAAATATTGTAATGATTGCCGAGGATAATCTTACTGATATTAATAATTTAGTGGAACAATACAACATTGAAATCCAACCAAATGATAATAAAAAGAAAATTGAAGTCATGGATAAATTAAAAACTCAAGTATCAAATATCACAATGAAGAAAGAAATTAAGCTGGAAATTATGGAGCGTAATGCATTTGAAGATAGTTATGATGAAATTGAAGAGAAATTAAAGCAAATTTGTGATGGTGGATCCACTGAAGATGACAATTATAAAAATGAGATTCAAAAAGAAGATGAAGTTGAAGAAAAAACAGATGGTAAAGTTGAATCCACCAGTAATGACCAAAAAGTTACTTCCTCTGATGTGAGTCATTTATCAATAAAAAATGAAGTTGGACATATACTTGCAGGCAAAGAGGAAAATGTTGAAATAATTTTTGGCACTGAAAGTGGAGATGAAAAAACATCTGCATCTCAAAATATATTAAAAGTAAATAAAGTGGATAACAATACATTGAAAGAAGTTGAAATGATTTATGTTAAAGATGAAAAAAAAGTTTTTAATGAAGACATAGAAGAAAATTTTTCTAAAGATGAAGTTCATGTTATACCAAATATAAGAGCAGCTATGAAACGTAAAAGAAGAACTAGGGAAGAAATAATGAAATCAATAAAGAAATCAATTAGAAGCAATTCAGATCAGGATATTAATTCTTCAAGTAATACTGACTCATCTGAAGTACAAATCAAAAATGAATTATCTTTATTTTCTTCAGAAATAAATGATATCAATAAGAATGATACAAAAGAAGAAACTGCAAAATTTGTCATTAAAATAACTGGTGACTCTGATGATGTAACTGAAATTATTGAAGAATTATCATCTAATACAATAGGAACACAAATATCTAAAGAATTCAATACTTTTTCTAAAATTGAGGAAAATGATTCACTTGTTACATCTATTATAACAGTACTGTCACCAAAAAATCTTAAAGGTATTATTTATGGAGATTTCAACAATTCATTAATAAAGGATGACTATGTAACTTCAAGTAAAGAAACGTTAATAATGAATCAAGATGAAGATAGAGAGTTTACAAGTTTAAATTCAACTCATAGTTCTAAAACATACCATTCGAACATACATACATGTTCTGATGAAGAAGAGAGGCTTAAGATAAGGACCAATTCACCATTACAAAATTGTACACAAGATGTTCCAGTCACTTTGGAAAACAATCGTGGTTGTATTTCTTCAGACTATGAAGATCTACTAGAGAGAATACAAATTCAAGAGGGTGTAATTGCGAAGTTAACTGATCAGATAATTATTTATAAAGATTTGGAAAATAGCATAAGAGGTAAAGTTACTGGACATGAAATACAAATCAAAGATGTAGAAACTTCTAGAATTAATACAAGATCAAGTAAAACGCAACTTTTTATATATAAAAAAAATATAGAATCCAAGCAAAGATTAATAGAAGATTTATCAAACAGAGTGAATTATTTGGAAGAAACGAATAAGAAATTAATGAAAAATGTAACATTGGAATCTCAGCAAAAAAGAAAGCTTGAAGGACAAATTAAACAGAAGGATAATCGGATAAAGGAACTTAATTGGAAACTGGAAAAAGCGTCCAAATATCTCGAAAGAGCAGAAAAGAACACAAATACCTATAGAAGAAAAATGTTGAATATGCAAACTATTATAAGAAGAAGAAAACTTTTAGATGAAAAACTGAGCAAATTTGACATGTTAATAGATAATTCTAAAAAAGAAAAGGTTTTATCCATGGCAATAGAAATCAGAAAAGTTTGTGGAAGAATAGGATATGATAAGCTGATTTCTTATGGGTTTCCATTACCACCACCACAAGCTTTAAAGGAAGGAATTCTCACTGAAGATTTTGCAAATTCCAACAGAAGTGATATGTATGAGGTACGAAATTCTACGCAGATAAATGTTAAAACAGAAAAAGTTCATGATACAAATAATGAATCTGAAATATATGAAAAGGACACAGAACTTCTAGAGTCAGTTGGTAAGGCAACTGAATATGAAAGTACAGAAACTGTGACAGGAACTGTACAAGACATTTTTGATGAAAATAATGATGGTGATGATTTTAGTACAAATGAATTGAGAGAACATTTTATTCTGCAATTAAATGCAGTTATGTAGCCATAATTTTGTATTTTAATTATATTCTTTTCTTTACATCTTAAGAACTGTAATATTAAGAACCTAAATACTTAGATAAAATTTCGTCTGTCATTGTACAATATGTATCATTATACTCTTAATAATTATATTTATTGTACAGTATAATCTGATATCCTTATTTCAAATGTAAATATATGTACAATATACATGTATAATATAAAAGACCATTTTACTAATCAATTGCAGTATTAAATTATTGCTCATGAATAATTTTCTGCATAATGGTCTACCTTAAAAGATTATATAATATTTTTTGCCTCTTAATAATGAATTTTATATTTTAGTAAAGTAGGAAAGACAGATTTGTTATTTGAAATTTATCATTATCAACAACACTCCAATGTTTAGCAATAAAATATTAAAAATATATGAATTTACTTATATTATTTAAACAAAAAGGAAAGTAGAATACAATAAATTAACTATTTCGTATAAAAGAAGTGTAAAAACATAATACTTTTACATATTGTATAACATTGTTAATATCTAAGCAGTATATTAAAAATATAAATATAAGTTGTGAGAAATTATACTATAATTTTTTTACGTTAATTTAAAGGCAACGCCATATCAATACTTGTGATCTATCATGAGTGTAAAATAAGATCAGGAGTGAGTGATCGATGATATTGCCTTTGAATTAACTAAATAATCATTTGGCTCATTTCAATAATATAAAGTATAATGATAATAAATACATTTAACTACACGTGTATTTGTGTGTGTTCTTTTTTTCTTTTAATGTAACTTTTGTTAGAATAATTACAATCCAGTGGCAGACTTGTTATTATTAACTTTCTTTTTCTCCTTTGATTTTCCATCTTTGGATCCAACAATTTTATCACATTCGCACCAAGGTGTAATCATTTTATCACACATTAAAGAAATATTAAGGACTGTTAATGGAGTATCCCCAATTGTCATTATAACTGTACCTAATATTTTATAAGAAACATTATTTAAGCCAGTTTGACGGTCTCGTTTTCTAGTAACTTCCCGTTGATTATAACATTTTATCATATCTCGTTTCCTATGATTTCTGTCATGTATATGTCTATAATAAAGTGACATAATCAATTACATTTATTAATATCTAATATAAATAAATCTTTTGCAGAACACACTTACTTGAATGTATTATGCGTTCCAGTAGATACATTTTGTGGTCTCATAACAGTTAATCCAGCTTCTTTTAATCGAACATAGAACTCATCATCTTCAAGACCCCATCCCCAATATTTATTAGACATTCCATTTACTTGCATAAAATGTTCTCTGCAGAAATATTTTTATTATCAATTCACTTAAATTTTTTAGTATTTTATACAATAATAACTATTAAAAACCTTTTAATAAGTAATATTCCACCAACAAAAGTTGGATAATGATATCTAGGATGTAATTCTGGAGAAGATATATGATATGGACCCTTATTGGGGAAAGAATACAATAATTCATCATTTATAGGCAATAAATCTACATCATGTATAGCTATATAATCAAACTCTTTGTCAATTTCAAGAAAGCCTACATTTATAAGAGAGGCTCGATTAAATCTAAATCTATCAACCTGGAAGATACAGTATTATTATTATTATTATTATTATTATTACATTTGAATAACATGTTTTAATTTATTGGTGATTAAATTGATAAAAAGATACCTGATTAAGTACAAATATATGATAATCTATATTTTGTTTATCCAAAAATTTTTTCATATGAGGAGCAAATATTAATAGCTCTTCAAAACGATCTCGAAATGGCACAAGTATAGCTAAATGATGTAATGATTTTTTATAAACTTTATTATCATTATTCTGCAATTTATTGTTATTGTATTGACTTGATTGTGTAGCAATTTCACATTTACATTCATCTAAAATTGTAAAATCAAAAGGTATTATTTAATAATCACCTTGCTAAAGCATTGAGAATATAAAAGACTTACCAATACTTATAGGAGCAATACTTATCAGACATGAAATAATAAATGTGATTAAAATGCAAGCAAATATATATTTAAATTTGATATTTTTCCAAACAACTTCCATGCCTTGTAACAAGTACTAAGTAAAGTATCTTAAGTTTACAAGTACATAAATTAATCATCGAATAGTCTTACAAAGATTTATTGGTATAGCAACATTTTCTTATTTCAAGAAAATTTACAAAGCGCTGATAACCCTTGTCCTTTTTCTTATTTATAGTAGTAGATCATGATTGAGATTGGTACAAATCGCATTGCAGCTCGTATAGTTGAAAATTACGATTCTACATCGATTTGTTAAATATGAGGTATCTTCGATATCACACGAAAATTAGGCAATCACGAGTTGCAAGATTTTATTGTTCTCACATACTTTTTTTATAGATCATTTGAACGAACGCATTAATCAATCTTCATTCAAAACCATTTATCTTCGTTGGCCAAAGATTCATCAGTCACTGGACCGAGAAGCGTACGTTTCTTACACCAAATGTATATATTTTCTAAGTGATCATACCCACAATTACAGTATACGCAAAGATTTAATTCAAACATCATTAATATTCAACGTTGCTCAGTTGAGCATACGGAAAGTATTTATTTTATAACACCAACAATTAACCATATTACCTAAAAGAATAAATTGTACCATACTGACTTCTGCATTGTTTGCCTTACACTATGTAATACTATGATAGTCAGTCCAGTAATGTTCACAATTTTAGGTAATTGAAATGAGAAGATAATTCAAATCACATTTTTGAAAGATAAAATATTATCTATGTTTTCTTAACTGACTATTTTATTGTCAAAATTGCTTATTACAATTTTACAAAAGCTAACATAGATTTTATAAATGTATTTTCTAAATATGTAGTGGTATCAATTTCTTTAATTTGTTAGTTATATTAATTATCAGTTATATAGTTATCAATTTTAAATATAAAATAAATACGTGAGAAATGAATGAAAATGCTGAATATTGAATATATTGTCAGTAATTTATAACTCAATAATTGTATATGAATGACATTGCTATAGTTTGCTATAGTGATGTGAATGAATAATACACGTAGTATAGTAAGTTTTAGAGTATAAAGTAATGGGTGTTGTCTTTCGTAGCAATTAACGCTTAGACGAAAAAAGCATTAAAATGCTACCAAAAAACTGCATAAATTTAATTATAATATTCTGCAGTTTGTCCTGCCACTTTATATATGGTATAATAAATACTTTTGTTTTTGAATAATTTAGTCATCTTATTTATTTCGTTTAATATTTGTTGTTGTTTAACTATTAATTGTTACTTATAATTGAAAATAAAAGATGTTAAATATTTACTTAGTATTTACAATTATCGTTAATATCAATAAAATGCTTGACTTTGTTTTTTCAGGACAAAATCTCACCAATACTGTTATATGGTGTACAATATCTGATGCTGAACAACATAAGTGTAATGCATTTTCAAGAGCAGTCGATCGCGAAATAGCGTTTTTTGAATATACTTATATCTCTTTGCAATGCATACAAGCATCTAATAAAGAAGAATGCATGACTTTGCTGGATCAGGAGAAAGCACAAATAACCACTTTAGATGCTGGTGAAATTTTTGTAGCAGGACGTTATCACAGTTTAATCCCATTTATGCAGGAAATATACGAAAGTGGTGTGAATTATCAGTATGCAGTAGCAGTAATTAAAAAAGGATCCTTGCCAGATGTTCAAAATTTACACGATTTAAGGGGTAAAAAGGCTTGTTTCGCTGGCCTTGGAATGCTTGCTGGTTGGGTTATACCAATCTATACAGTAAATATGATTTGTTTTGCTATATTTCTATATAATGGTGCTTGTTAATTAAACATGTGTTTCTTCCTATTTAATATAGTTTATGAAAGAAGGTGGATTAGAAGTTGTTGATTGTAACAATCATGTTAAATCTGCTATCAATTACTTTGGACCCAGTTGTGCCGTAAATTCATTGATAGATAAATATAATCCATTAGGTATGATTAATAGTAATTCCACATATATTTTCAATTTTTTTATAACAATTTTAAATTTTAGGTGATAATTCTGATCAATTATGCAAATTGTGTATTGGAAAAATATCTGGAGAAAGATGTACAACTGCAGATCCTTATGCAGGATATGAAGGAGCATTTCGATGTTTAGTAGAAGCAGGAGAAATTGCTTTCTTAGTACACACAACAGTGGATGAAATGACATCAACAACATTTGATTTCAGTATGTATTTAATTTGTGGCAATACTATTATAATGTTAATAAATAACGTTAATTTTTTTAAGATTCTGTGAAGAAAGAGCAATTTGAGTTGCTTTGTCGTGATGGTACTCGTAAACCGATTGATGAATATAAATTTTGTAATTGGGGCAGTGTTCCATCACGCGCTATAGTCACCTCGTCTGCTACAAAATTTGAGACACGTCGATTATATCAGCGGTTTTTGGAAAAAGCAGTTAGAATATTAGGCAAACATAATGCGAGAAATTCAACCGAATTTTATGACAATCGTTTTGAAAACCGACCAGGTTTTAATAGTAATAATAGGTTTAACAGAACGGAATATGTTAATCCAAACGAATATAGCACAGATAACTTTGAACATCGTAACGGGAATGAAAGAAGCCATGATGGAAATGAATTATGGGATAACACAGAATCAACGAATATACAACCAATAGAAACTTTCAATTTATTTGAGTCTGCACCTAAATATGGAATGCATCATAATTTAATTTTTTCTGTAAATAATAATACATATTTCTTTTCAATAATATTATTCTCTTTTTTATTTAATAATCTCATTTCAGATTATATAATTTCAGGACGCAGCACGAGACTTCGCTCAATTACCTGAGAAAGATCAAATATATACTGGTTATTTGGGCAGATCTCTTGATCTAATACTGGAAATGCGTCGATGTCCAGTTAGTAAAATGACCTTATGTATTACATCTGATCCAGAAATGGAAAAATGTGTAAAAATGAAGGTAAAGATTTAAAAAAATAAATATAATTTTATATTAAATTTAATTATCAATGTTTGTTCTTATATTAGATAGCATTAAAGGCGCAGCTATTGAAGCCAGAATTAAATTGCCATAAAGGCCACAGTCAAATTCATTGCATGCAGGCTATACGAAGTGGGTATGTATAAAAAAAGTTTGCAAATAAACTTAATAAAAAATAGAAGAATTTGTCTTAAGATAAAATTAATTCTTTTTTCTAGAATCGCCGATGTAGCAGTATTAGATACAAGTGACGTATATACTGCTGGTTTACGCTTCGATTTGATTCCATTTATATCTGAAGTTTATAATTTACCTACACCAGAATATTACGTGGTCGCAGTTGCGAAAGAGGAAGACGATAACACAGATCTGACTTATCTTAAAAATAAGTATACTTGTCATACAGGGATCAATACAGCCGCAGGTTGGGTGTATCCGCTGGCATATCTTATTTCGAATACATGGATCAGGGGTTATGGCTGTGATTCAGTTCACGCTGCTGCAGAATATTTCAGTAAATCTTGCGTTCCGGGCGCGCTTAGTACCGAATACAATACAGGTACTTATAATTTTTATACTAACATTTATCACAGATTCTACATCTGAATTTATTACGTATTGCAGGAGTACCATATGACAATATGTGCGACCTGTGCCACGGTACCAGCTTCCGTTATTGTCGTAGAGATGCGTCTGAAGATTACTATGGATATACTGGTGCCTTTAGATGTTTAGTCGAGGGGGGTGGAGACGTAGCTTTTGTAAAACACACAACGGTCGCAGAAAATACCGATGGAAAACGGCGAGAAACATGGGCACGTAATACTTTTACAAAAGATTTTGAATTACTTTGTCCAGACGGCACTCGTCGTCCAACAACCGATTACATACATTGCAATTTAGGAAAGGTGGCATCAAATGCAGTAGTTACACGTGGTGGATATTACGGATATAACGAGACACAAATAAACGCTTATATAAATTTATTTATTTATGCCCAACAATTTTATGGAAGGAAGGAACAGGACGAATTTAGTTTTAGCATGTTTTACAGTCAACCGCCTTATAGCGATTTGATTTTCCAAGATGCTACACAGCAGTTGGTAGTAATACCACCAGAAAAAAGAGAATTTAGTGCGTATTTAGGGCCAGATTTCATGAGAGCTAGAAGAATTGTAGATTGCAATGCTGGCGCATCAGCTATAGAGCATTCAATAATAGCCACGGTAGCTATGATTATATTTGCTTACATATTTAGTAGATAAAAAGTATTCTAAATTTTTTCTCAACAAATGAATATATGTACATTCGATAGAGAGTTTACAAAATATATTTAGGTATATTTCCTAGGTTTTAAATTTTCGAGATGTACGAGATGTGTTCAGAAATTAATTATATTTTTTGTATTTTATATACTGATATATTGTTAAACGAGTGAATGTGGTAATGTAATGCGTAGTTCTCGACTAAAGACTATAATATAATCCGTCCTTTTTCTCAATACATATAAAATGACATATTTAATTGCGTATAATATCGTACGTGTACCTTATGCCGTCCATTAATACTTTTATATTGAATAAAGCTGGTTTATAATATTTCAGTTAGGTTCATTATTCTTTTTTATTTAAATATAGATCTTATATTTTTTATTGATATGCTGCTTTGAAATCTTTTCGTCTTCGATCAACCGTTCTTACACACCTTTAGCATTTGTTAATTCCTTCAGTTTCTTTCTGACTATTATAAACAAACGAGAAAGTAATCTTACATTAGTTAGTTTGATAATAAAATAATTAAAAAATAAAATTATTAGAAATACAGATAAATACCTAAAGCAGATAATCGAACGCCTAACTTCTTAGGTAACATTATGGGTGCCCAATCCTTTAATGTATTCATTGACAATTCGCGTGCTTCTTTTAATCTCTTTATCTTAAAAGTGTTCCTTTGACTCGACGAAATAGATGTTTTAGGAATTTTCCGAGTAGGTTTGCTCACCTTAAGATACCGAATAATTCAATTAACACTCTACTAGATTAAAATTAAAGGAACATATTTACATTAGAAAAATGATTTTTATATGCCGATTTATGCTTCACAGATTTAGGTTGCGCTAAGATGTCGATACGTCTTAATTTTTTTACGCTTTTTCGTTTTTTCTTACGATGCTCCTAGAAACAGATGTAATATCTTATTTGTTGTTTATTTATGAGCTATTGCTAAATTAAGAATGACTTCTTATTTTACTTTCTTCAATTTTTTATTTTGTATCAACGAACTGTCGATATTTCCCGCAACAACTGTGCTTTTTACTCTTCTAGGAGCGCACCAATAAGTGTTTCGTTTGTTACGATGAGTTTTGATAACTGATTTTGACGTTTTTTCGTGTCTATGTAGAAAATAGCGTTAGCAGGTATCAGAAAACTAGGAAGATAGGAAAACATTATATTTACTGCGATTTGTTCATCTTAGAACGAAAATTTAGAGGATTGGTTTCACTGGACAAAAAATTTTGTCGGGAGACTTGAAATTTTGTTCACGATTACTGTTTGTTGGATATATTACCGAGAAAGAATTGAAGTTTGCAAGTATCCTTATTTTACGATCGCTTCACTGTCAATATTTTAACCCTAAGACAAAATTTTCAAAATTCTCTGTTGCTTTCACAATTCACATTACATCTCTCTCCAAGTCTCGAATCAGGTAACAATTTTACAATCAAATGAACGATATGAACACGGATGTTCATCAAGATAATGTACCAAGACTTGAAAAACTAGCGAAACCCAGAAAAAAGACCGATAAAACCAATAACTATAACGCCTTCAATGTAAGTACTGTGAATGTATTATAGAAGTATATACGAAGAATATAAATCTTCTAATTTATTTAAATATTTTAGGTAAAACGTGGAGCATTGTCGTACCAAATTACGGATTCACTGAACAGATTAGCTCAACCTAGGCGAAAACCAGCTACGAACGTGTCAAATATATCCAATTTTAGCACGAGAAACTCACCTACGAGTACAGGTAGTTTAAAGGAAGCATTTCAAGTGTCACTTATTGTCGAACACTTTTTTATTTCATCAGTTTGAGGAGCTCTTTAAGTTAGAATTTTTCTTTTAGCGAAGAAGTTAGTTGTTTTGGAAATATTAACAATATTGTAATATTCACGTAGAAAATGTAGAAACGTAAATGTTCGATACAATTACGCGATTGTTCTTAGTGAAACAAGGCCATCACAAGTTAATAAATAGCAGCGAGCAGTCAAAGGACGCGCAAGAATCGAAGAAGAAGAAGTTCCTGCTGGACACTTATGCTCGTATCACCGCAGCAAGGAATAAAGGATGCTCGAGACGACTGCATGAACTTGCGAAACCGAAAAGCCGTGTGATTCGTACTGAACCTTTCGACGATTTCGAGAATTACTTTCAAACGATGAAGAAATACAACGCGAAAGCTCCGCATCAGAAAAGAAAATAATACCATAAACTTCGTTACAATGGTGTAATACAAAATAAATAACATCCACACAGAACTTTTGATACTTACTTTAAGAACTTCCAAACTTCCAATTTTATTCATTAACTTCTATTTAATTAAACGAACATTTCGTATCGGTAAAAAACAAACGAAGGGTTGCTTCCTTTTAAAATTTGACAAACTCCATTCGCATAACACGAAGACTAAGTAAAATCGCACAAAATGAAATCACGATATTAAAAATGAAGAATTTAATGTAAAACAATAACGTGAAACGAAAAATGTCACCTCTAACGTTTTTAATATTCATCTTATCCATTAATAAATTGGGAAATATTTAACCTAGATCATGAGTATTAAATTAGTGAGAGCGATAAAGAAGTTTATTTTATTACTCGAAGAAGTAATTATATTTTATAATTTAAAGAATTAAAAATTAAAGAAGATGAATTTTATTTTTAAACAAGAAGTTCATTTTATACCTATATTATTTGTTTGAAGAAACCCAACTTGTTCATTTCATCTTAAATTTTTAAATTGAATTCTAATTTAATTGTTCGTTTAGATTAGAAAATAAAACGTTTTAAAAATGGCTCCCAAGATGAAAAAACCTGCAAAAGATAAGGTCGGGAGGAGAGATCAAAATATGAAGGAAATGAAGGAACCAACGAAACCTCCTCGAGCGGCAGCCGGCAGATTAAGAAAAGTAGAGAGACCGAAACTGAAGGCAAAGTAAGCGTAATTTTTTTTGTTGAGTAAATAAAAATTCGAATCTTTCCAACGTTGACGATTTTTAGAAGAGTTAGGCGTAAATTGAAAGGATGGCTAGCGACGCCGGCTGATTGGACGCGTTTCAATGCCTGGGCGAAAATCAACGCACTACCAAAAAAGTATCCGGAACCTGAGCCTATAGTTAGTAATAAATAAATTTATGCATTTGTGAGATTTTATATAATAAAAAAAGAGCCACGTTCAAGTCCAAAATTGGAAAGTAAATAAAAGTGATAATATTATAAACGCTATTTTTTGAAATTTGTCTACAAATTTATTATTCATGTCGTTTTTAACAATAAACGAACTCACGGAGATAAATTTTTGTTTTTTTGAAAATTAAACGCTAAACAGTGTACCTGAATAATGAAGTTGTGAAATTTTGATTAGTGGAATTTATCGTTCTCTTTTCTGAAAAACTCCTACAATAATTTAACAGAAGAAACAAATTTAAGTTTTATTTGTTCCTCAGGTTCGACCATCGAGGCCATTGTCTCAATTAAAGAAAAGGATCAAAATGTTGGCGAAACCAAAGGAGAGACCCGATGAAAGCATTCATTGCAGATTAGATCTTACTATCTCGAAAATGGCATTAAGAGCAATTCCATCTAAAAGAACGATTTTACTAGCTCTACCAAAGATAAGACTGGTCGATTTTGGTCGAATTTATTATCAGGTTTCTCCAGCAGCATTGAAGTACCAGCCAACTCGAAGAATCATCGAGCTGAGTATGCCTCGTGTCTTTATTAAAGAAGAATACAAACCATCTAGATTACAGGAGCGAGTATTGGATGAAGAGAGATTGAGCAAATTGGCTTTAGCGAAGAAACTGCTCGATCATTCTGGACAATTAACCAAGGAAGAACTAGAGGAGCTCTTTACATATGGCGTAAAGAAAACTGCGCGTTTATATCAAGTAAGTTTACGTACATAGTATATTGTATTATAGTGTAATATTGCATATTATATATATTATATATTATATGTATATATTATATGTATATATTATATGTATATATTATATGTATATATTATATATTATATGTATATTTTAAAAGTTGAGACGATTCAAGATAAATTTTTTAGAAGAAGTGAAAAGGGGAATTTAGAACAGAGTAATTTGTTAAAAAAATATATTGATAGAGAGAATATTGTGTTTTAAAAAATCAATGATGAAATATTATTCAAAATCTCGCAATTTCTCTTGTAACACAGGACTGAATTATTTTTAACTGTGATATTTTTTGAAATGAATTTGTATTAATTTTACTTAGACTTCACTTCTGATGAATTATTCTGACTTAATTTTGTGTTATCTTTGTGAATTTTCTCTCTTGAATCGCTAGATTACACCTTGGATAAGTTTCCTGGCTATGCCATCATACAGGATGATAAAAGACAGGGAAGACGAGCAGGCGAAAACTTTCAAGAAAACGATAATCGAGGAAGAAGAGAAAAGGGGCAAGAAGGCTTTTGCAGAGTATAAGAGAAGGAAAGAGGAGAAGAGAAGAGGGAAGAAACGAAGTAGGAAAATTATCGAGGCGGAAGAAGAGGTGTATGAAACTGAAGAGAAAGAACGGGAAGCCAAGAGAAGAAAACTTGAGAAATATGCTTGGAGAGTTGCACCGTATCCGTGCATAAATATTCCAATCCCCATCAAGAAAGCAGTATTGAAAACCAAAGGTTTGCCAAAGATAAAATTACAATTGTTTAATTTACAGTAAAAAATCGTATTTTTGATTTCTCGTATTATTATAATATACACTGATGTAATTTTAACTGATAAATTAATTAAGATTTATAAAATGTCCAAAGTTTCTATGACTGATTATAGACTGTCGTTATTTCAGCATCTCCACGTACGGTCGAACTAGCTAAGCCGCGCGAGCGTAAATATAAAACTTTTAAAACTGACCCTTTTACCATAAAAAAAGGTGCATTGGAGGCCACGGCTACTGAAAGAATCGAATCTTTAGCGAAACCAAAGAGCCCTCGAAGCCTCATCGAAAGGAAACCGCCGCGTAAGAAAGATAAATATGGAAGACCGATATTCGAAATGCCCGTAAGATGATTTAATTAACCCGCTAAGGAATAGAATTTGATAATATTGTCGTTGTAAAAGGAAATTGTCTAACATTTTGTGTTTCTTATAGTAAAATTTAATGTAATTTGAAGTTACTATACTAGACTAAAACTGTATTGATAATTATATTTATTTTTGTATTGATAATAGTGGTAATTTTAATCGTCCTCCTCTGGATTCTATAATTTTATGAAATTTTAAGAAATTAGAATGTTTATGATCTTATGTTAAATTTTAGTAAATTTTAGTAAATTTTTCTACTTAGTTACAAATTCATTTGCAGATTCATTTTGTTATAGATTTATGGCAGAGTTCTGCCAAAAATGAAGCCGTATAAAATGGGCAATTGTCCGGAACCGAAAAAGGAGAAGCCTCCTGCTAAAAAGCGACCGATTGATCCGATTATTTATGAAGCAACCTATGATCCTTGTATCTATCCAGACTTGGCGAAGAGGCAGAAAATCGAACGGAAACGAGCTGAGAAATTATTGAAAAAGAAGCCTCGTAGAAAAAAGAAATTGGAAAGACCTGAACATCGTGGTCCGACAGAAGCAGAAGATAAAAAGGAAGAAGTGGAAGAAAAGGAAACGGGCGAAACAGTTGATAAAACTGAAACTGAATTAACTGAAGTAACCGAAGAAACTGAGGTAACCGAAGGGACAGATGTAACTGCTGAAGTAACTGAAGAAACTGAGGTAACCGAAGGAACAGATGTAACTGCTGAAGTAACTGAAGAAACTGAGGTAACCGAAGGAACAGATGTAACTGAAGTAGCTGACGAACCTGAAGAGGAAAGAAAGTAAAAATATGAGAATAGAAAGTAAAAATATGAAATCTACATAATATGAAAATTATAAGTATGTACGATAAAACCGGAGAAATAAAAAGAAAACAGTAAAATAGCTTTTCTGTATTATTAATCACATAATAACTTGGTCTGGATACATCGATTTAAATAGTATCACATTTTTCCTGTATTATTTGAAATGTTAGATTTAAGGTACGAAAAAAATAGACATTGTTTTAACCCAAAATTATGATACGAATACAGACGTTACAATTTTTACGTTTCCTCTACATAATCGTTTACACGATGATTATACAATTCTGCGATATTGCAATCTTGTATCTATTAAGAACGAGTAAATATCATTATTTTACTAATAAATATATGTATGTTTTTGCAATTTCTAATGTCCTTGCTTATATTGTAGATAAATATTATCAAACACATTTTACTTACACTTACTTTTTACTTAGTTACATCTTGCTTGAAGCTTGTTCGTTATAGCAATCATTTAGTACAGAATACATATAATAATATAATATTATTATGACTAACATTACGTGTATTGTATAATATTATAATATTATATCAGATTTAAAATATTAATTACAATTAATTATAATATTCAATATATGAATTTAATATGTCGTAATATTGTATAATGTAATATAATGTAAGATCATGTGTAGGATGAGATCCAAAAATGTGTTACATTTTTGGATCTCATCCTACTGCACTTTAAAGTATTAAAAATATACATGACATATTTTTCCTTAAATGACTTATATTACAATATTTCGATTAAAATTTGACATGTATTCTGTCCACCAGAAAATTACAATTATCGCAATTCAGTCATGTATTGAGATAATTTCCTCCCGGTTTCCCCCTTCGACTAAAGCATATAACATTCTTTCCTGTTCATTGACTTTTCAGTGCTCATCAAGCATCAACTACGCGAGCAATCTCTCGAGCAATTTCAATTTTTAACTTTCCTCGTTCGTGCAGAGAATATTCCATTCGACCATTCGTGAGAAAGACGAATCACTGGACGGATGACAAAATGAAGCTACCATTTTTGTTTTGTATCATCATCATCGGTAACGTTATACATTGCACTCCAGAACCGGAAGCGATAGCGCTGATCGGCAGGATCCGCGGCTCCGTTTTAACATCAAGAAGATTTATACCTTCCTTTCGGTGTGAAATACGCCGAGCCACCCACAGGAGAACGACGTTTTCAGATGAGTTTTTTTTTCTTCTTTTTTTCCTCATCCACCGCGTAATTTTTATTAATCCTGGAAAGATCCTACCTCGTGGACATTTGTCAAACTTATCGTCAGCCTTCAACCGTGCAAACAAAGGCGACTCTCCGCGTGTTTCCTTTTACGCGAGTATTTATGGGACACCGGTGGGAATAATTCTTATAATCTTCTCACGATTCAGGTTGCTGTTTCAGCGGCAGATTGGAAAGATGAGTTTTTAACGCAAAAGCAAAGATCCTTCATGTCCAAATCTAGGTGGTTCCGAACGAACCGATTTCCAAAGACTGCTTGCGTTTGAACGTCTATACTAAAAAAGTACGTCTCGCTTTTTACTGCGTCATAGCGTGATTAATGGATCGAGATATAGAATGTATTGTGATTTATGAAATGTCTCATTGTTTAAACGTTGTAATTACCTTCAAAAAATGAAAACGTCACCTGTATTGGTGTTTTTTCCTTTAGGGCGTTTACACCTTTTTGGCTCAGAACCAAACCTTTTAACCGTGGACCTGAATATTTGCTCGATATAATGATATTGTTTTGGCGAATAATCATTTAGCTATATTGGATAATTTACATTTTTAATGCATAATGTAACAATTATTTCAAGAACGAATAGATTAATTTTTATATTTAAATTACTATGTGCATAGTTTACCATAGTTTAGTTTATTAAAGTTTGTATCTAAAAGGAGAACTATTTTTTTCTTATGATTTAATGAACAGATAGATTTCGTACAATATTGCAGATAGAATAGATGGTTCAAGCTTTCTAATAATTCTAATAATTTTTTCTTTTTTAGAGATCTGGCAATGAATTACTGTGGTATTACTAATGTTAATCAGCAATCAATTAATATTATCAATAAATTATAAATAATAAACTTGCAGCTTTATGCAGACAGTATAGTTATATTTCTACAATTACGTAGGAGTAGGAATTAATAGTTCGGAACTCTAAACCTCCAGTACATTTTTATAAATTCACATATCAAGGACTATTACGATTATGTTAATAAAGTTTGGAAAATAATCAAAAATATGTAATTCTAAATAATTCTAATGACAAATAGAAATGTTCTTCTTTAAGAGTATATAAAAGATTATTATTCTTCGCAGCAAGGTACTTGGGTTTCCCCACTAACTTTCCTCATGGCTCTCGTATAAATTGTTCGCTTTTGCTCTCGAGTTCTCCAGTGTTCGTATAAGCACCGTATATTGGTTAACTGGATCAACTCGTTCTTATCAACTTACCTTTTTTCTTAAGAACAAACCAATTCCGACAAAGAGAAACTAAAGCTTTCTAGCTTACAATGAAAGGCATTCTGATAATTTTCTTTTGTATCAATGGCCTTGCTTTTACTCAACAATCGGCCGAAGAGCAACCGTTGGTCACTGCACCAATTGGGAAAATTCGCGGTTCTATTTTCACTTCTAGACTTAGTAGAAAGATCTATTCGTTCCGTGGTATAAGATATGGTGAACCACCTATTGGACAACAACGTTTTCAGGTAGGAAATTTTGTATTTTCTTTGTTACTTTATGTCGTTATAAATCCATTAAGGATTATCCTTATTATAAATACATACTTCAATTTTTCTACAGAAACTATACGTGAAATTTGGAATAGGAAAAGTAAAACTAAGTATTCCCATTAATATTACTTGCAGAATATCTCAACTAACTTTTCCATTTTAGCGTCGAGTAAATTCGCGAGAATAGAGAATTACTATTAACAAGTTAGGTACTGTTAACAAATTATCTCATTTTCACGATACGTTATCTGAAAGTAAAGATATAATATTCACACATTCTAAGAAATTAATCATAAATTGCACAAATTATATATTTTCTTTGCTGATTATGGAGTCAACAAAATTATATTTTTTACTGTTTCATCGTGTTTCTGAGTTATGTTTCTACCATCTTATTGTGTTTTAAATTATTTAAATTATTATGTTTTAAACTTTATTACATTTTTATTACATTTTCATTCCAGCCTCCAATACCAGCAAATGATTGGCGAAACATTTTCGATGCAACTGAAGAAGGACCCAGTTGCCCTCATCCCGGTGGCAAGATAATGTCAGAAGATTGTCTGCGTTTAAATGTTTATACTACTAAAGTAGGTAGCAATATCAAACAATTGAGCAATTTACTTTTTTAATTTACTTTCGTTCATTTCGATCAATTAATTTCATTTCTAGTTACCATGCAAACATGAAAACGTATCGAGACCAGTCATGATCTTCATACATCCAGGCGGCTTTTACGGTTTCTCTGGACAGAGTGCAAATTTTGGACCACAGTATCTACTGGATAAAGACATCGTCTTAGTTACGATTAATTACCGTCTTGGGACATTAGGTAACTTTAAATAAATCAAAGGAGTAATAATCATTACATGTATTATCAATACATTAGTTGTAATAATTATTATAACAATGATTACAACCGTTATAAATAACTATTGTGAGTAACAATAAAAATCTGTCAAGTCAGAATATAAAGAATCAATCCACTTGCGTCGCAAATTTTAAGAAATAAATTCAATTTACTTTAGGTTTCTTAAATACTGGTGACAGCTTGGCGCCAGGTAACATGGGCCTAAAGGACCAAGTCTTGGCCTTCCGCTGGGTTCAAAGAAACATCGCTGCCTTTGGTGGCAATCCAAACTCCGTCACTCTGTGTGGTTATAGCGCAGGAAGTTACAGCACAATGTTGCACATGGTGTCACCAATGTCTCGAAATCTCTTTCACAGAGCAATCGCAATGAGTTCTTCAGCTATTAAACCGGAAGTTTATAGCGGCATATCGCAACATGGACAGCGAGAACTTGTTCAAAAGCAGGCGCGGTTGTTGGACTGTCCCACTGATCCAACCAGTTCTATGATAAGCTGTTTCCGCTCGAAGCCTGCAGAAAACTTCACAAATACATTTAACTCTCTATTCGTACGTTTAGTATAACAGATAATTCACATTACAGTCTTGCTACATTATTATGACTATTTTTTGGCAGGTTAATTGTATATTTAATTTCATAGTTTTATTTATACAATTTATTTATTCAAAATTGTCTATTATTTACATTTTTAATTATACTCTTTTGAAAGGATTGGCGTGGAAATCCCACTTTGCTTTGGTCACCAGCTGTAGAACCGGATGTTCCCGGTGTCAAAAGATTCTTAACCGATCAGCCGTACAACTTGATAAAGCAGAGAAAATTCTATCAGGTTCCTTTAATAATAGGAGTTACTGAAGATGAACTTGGTGGCATGGTTGCGAGCAAGTATTCGAACCAATCTATGACTTATAAATATATTATAAAAATATGAAAATTTACAGTCCAATTATTTTATTGAATTATATAGATTACGAAAGAGCGGCACAAAATGGTAACGACACCATATATCGTGAATTGGATAAAAATTGGAACACTCTCGCTCCAATCGTATGTAGATACGAACGTGACACGCCACGGTCAAATTACGTTAGCAGAGAATTGCGGAAATTCTATTTCGATGATCAGCCAATTAATTCGACTAACAACAGAAAACTCACTGAAGTACATATCAGTTCCTTTATCCTTTAATTCTATCTTTTTTTCATTATTAAGAAAGAACTGTGAAATCCTTTTCAGCTTTTCGCTGATTGTTTAACTATATTCCCCGTGTACCGAGCAGCCAGATTATTCGCCACGTATTCTACACATCCGGTGTACTTTTATAAATTTACATTCCAAGGACGAAGGAGCTTCAATATGTTGAACGATAAACCATATGGTAAAATGATTTACTTCTCGTTTCTTTGAAAACGCACATTAAAGATTAGACTACAGTTATATGCAATTTTATACTTTCGTAATTAAAGAGTGTAACTAAAAATGTGAATTTAAGTAAAAACTTGTCAAATATCTATAAACAACTGGATGTTTTATATACTGTTATATAATTTATATTCAAGTGTTTCCAAAAACTTACAAACATCAATAATCCAGCTTCAACACTATGAGTTTTAGACAAATGAAGAGATTGTCATAGTATTAAAATTTTTCACTCGAAGAACACATATCAAGGACTATACTTGTTTAAGAATGTACAGTAAAGATTATATCTTAAACTACTCATACATATCTTTTTCAGGTGTAACGCATCACGACGATTTGCAGTATCTTTTCTTCATGAAGACTTTCTTCCCGTATTTCGAGAGCGATGCGCCCGAAATCCCTATGGTGGAAATTTCTACGAGCATATGGTCGAACTTCGTAATGAATGGCGAACCGATTCCCAAAAACGATGACAAGCTCAGGAATGTGAAATGGAGTAATCTGATACCTGAGCAAACTAACTTCTTGGAGCTCAATCTTCATCCGTCCATGAAGACCGAGTTTTTCCCTGAAAGAATGCGCCTGTGGGAAACACTATTCCCAGCACCTTCAGTTCCAAGTACAGCGAAACATTGAATCTACGATTGAGAGCCTGTTTCTCTGGTTACTGAATCGATATTGGATTCAATAAAGCATTAATATACCGAGCGCAATGAAAATATGTAGATGTTGCTATTGTTTTTTTTTTTTTTTTTTTTTTTTTTTTTTTTTGAACGAAATTAGAATATATGCGTATATAAATAAATAAGAAATAATATTTCATTATTCCTTAAAACAGCGTTATGTCACAATTATTATCTAATTATTCCTTATGTTCATTTAATACAAACGATCCGTACAGAGGTTATCGAATTAAAAGGTTATCGGATTCGTAGTTTTCTTAATTAATAAAACATGAGAAATATTTTATCATTTCTTAATAGCGTTACGCTCTTAATTATTTATTATGTGTGATGCTATAATTTAACTGAAATTATTCGTACAGGAAAGTCATTGAATTATTTCTAAATTTAGTTCTAAATTTTACAAGTGCAGTCATAATAGTTGCAGCGTTAATGTAATTTTTAAATAAATATATGTAAAAATTCTCCTGTCACAAATCTTTCATGTTAATGATATTAGATCATAATAGAAATACGTGCGATTAAAAAATAATAATGTTAGAGAATGCATTTATAATAAGGAGAGAAATACAAAAAATTCTTGATAAACATTGCGAGTGATAGATAAAAATGTTTTTGTGCAAGAGTTTACGAAAGATTATTATTCTCCGCAGAAAGGTAACTGGATTTCCCCAGTCGTTTTCCTCGTAGCTCTCGTATATATTGTTCGCATTTGCCATTGAGATCTCTAGTGTTTGCACGAGTACCGTGTATGTCAGTTAACTGGATCAACTCGTTCTTATCAATCTGTCTTTTTCTCTAAGGACAAGACAATTCCGACAGAAAGAAGATAAAGCTTCCAGCTTAAAATGAAAAGCACATTGATAATCTTCTTTTGTATCAGTGGCCTTGCTATTGCTCAACAGTCGACCGAAGAGCAACCGTTGGTCACTGCACCAATTGGGAAAATTCGCGGTTCTATTTTCACTTCTAGACTTGGAAGAAAGATCTATTCGTTCCGTGGTATAAGATACGGTGAACCACCTATTGGAGAACAACGTTTTCAAGTAAGAAATTTTGAATTTTCTTTGTTACTTTATGTCGTTATAAATCCATTAAGGATTATCCTAACATTATAAATACATATTTTAATTTAAAATAAAACTACGTATTCCTATTAACATTATTTGCAGAATATCTCAATTAACTTTTCCATTTTAACGTCGAGCAAGTTCGCGAGAATAAAGTGCTGAATTACTGTTAACAACTTGATTACTGTTAACAAATTATCTTATTTCCACAACGCATCATCTGGAAGTTAGCTGTAATTTCCACACGGTCTACGAGATTAATCATAAACCGCAAAATACTTTTTTTACTGATTACATAGTCAACAAAATTATATTTTCTAATCTTCCATTGTGTTTCTATTGTCCTATTGCGTTTTAAATTATTTAAATCATTGTTTTATTACATTTCTAAATTATTTCAGCCTCCAATGCCAGCAAATGATTGGCGAAACGTTTTCGATGCAACCGAAGAAGGACCCGGTTGCCCTCATCCTGATGGCAAGCTGATATCAGAAGATTGTCTGCGTTTAAATGTTTATACTACTAAAGTAGGTGGCAATATCAAACAATTGAGCAATTTACTTTTTTAATTAATTTACTTCCGTTCATTTCGATCAATTAATTTCATTTCTAGTTACCACGTAAACATGAAAACGTATCGAGATCAGTCATGATCTTCATACATCCAGGCGGCTTTTACGGTTTCTCTGGACAGAGTGCAAATTTTGGACCACAGTATCTACTGGATAAAGACATCGTCTTAGTTACGATTAATTACCGTCTTGGGACATTAGGTAACTTTAAATAAATCAAAGGAGTAATAATCATTACATGTATTATCAATACATTAGTTGTAATAATTATTATAACAATGATTACAACCGTTATAAATAACTATTGTGAGTAACAATAAAAATCTGTCAAGTCAGAATATAAAGAATCAATCCACTTGCGTCGCAAATTTTAAGAAATAAATTCAATTTACTTTAGGTTTCTTAAATACTGGTGACAGCTTGGCGCCAGGTAATATGGGCCTAAAGGACCAAGTCTTGGCCTTCCGCTGGGTTCAAAGAAACATCGCTGCCTTTGGTGGCAATCCAAACTCCGTCACTCTGTGTGGCTATAGCGCAGGAAGTTTCAGCATAATGTTGCACATGGTGTCACCAATGTCTCGAAATCTCTTTCACAGGGCAATCACAATGAGTTCTTCACCTATTGAACCGGAAGTTTATAGCGGTATATCGCAACATGGACAGCTGGAACTTGCTCAAAAGCAGGCGCGATTGTTGGACTGTCCCACTGATCCAACCAGTTCTATGATAAGCTGTTTCCGTTCGAAACCTGCAGAAAATTTCACAAATACATTGAGCTCCTTGTTTGTACGTTGAGTATAATAATATAGATCATTCACGTTAAAGTCTTGCTACACTATTATAAGTATCAATTGCATTTTCTTGGCAGGTTAATTATGTTTTTAATTATATATTTACACCTTTTATTTTTATTTTTATTTAATCTGTACAATTAATTTCGAAAATCATCTGTTATTTATATTTCTGATTATATCTTTTTGAAAGGATTGGCTTGGAAATCCTATTTTGCTCTGGAAACCAGCTGTAGAACCGAAAGCCCCCGGTGTCGAAAGATTCTTAACCGATCAGCCATACAAACTGATAAAGCAGAGAAAATTCCAACAGGTTCCTTTAATTATGGGCGTTACTGAAGATGAATTTGGCGGTGTAGTTGCATGCAAGTATTCGAGCCACAAAATTTATATTTTTAAATTATTTACACATTTAAATTATAAAAAATTCATATTTCCAAATTTTACGTTATAAAAATATATTACGTTATAAAAATTAATTGCCCGATTATTTTATTGGATTATACAGTTTACGAAAGAGACCAACTGTTGGATAATTGTTCTTTGTATCGCACGTTGGATGGTAATTGGAGTACTCTCGCTCCTATCATATTTATGTACGAACGTGATACGCCACAGTCGAATTACATTAGTAGAGAATTGCGAAAATTCTATTTCGATGATGAGCCAATTAATTCGGCTAACAACAGAAAGCTCGCCGAAGTACATATCACATTCTCTTTACGCTCTAATTCCATCTTCATTGGGAATATTACAAAAACGTGAAATCCTTTTTCAGGTATACGCTGATTCTATAATTACATTCCCTATGTACCGAACAGCCAGATTATTCGCCACGTATTGCAGACATCCAGTGTACTTTTATAAATTCACGTTCCAAGGACGAAGAAGCTTTTACATGCTGAACGACACTACACCATACGGTAAAATGATTCACCCCTTCTTTGTCTTTAAAAACTACGGTGCGGTTTTACATTTTCACGAACGTAACTGAAAAATGTAACTGAAATAGAAATTTGTTTCATCCACCAAATATTATAATAAGCGTTGCACTTTATTAACTTTTCAGATATTGAGTATTTTATACATTTTGCAGATTTTTGGAATTTCAAGTGTTTCCAAAAATTCATCAACATCGGCAATCTAGATTTAATACTATGTCATTGTGTACTCAGAGTCTCAAACAAACGAAGAGATCGTCATAGTATTAAAACTTTTCACTCGAAGAATACATATTGAAGACTATATTTGTTTAAGAGCACACACTGTAGACTTACACTTTAAACTATTCATATCTTTTTCAGGTGTGTCGCATCACGACGATTTGCAGTATCTTTTCTTCATAAAGAACTTCTTCCCGTATTTCGAGAGCGATGCGCCGGAAATTCCTATGGTGGAAATTTCAACGAGCATATGGTCGAACTTCGTAATAAATGGCGAACCGATTCCCAAGGACGATGATAAACTCAGGAATGTGAAATGGACCAGGCTGGTGCCTGAGCAAACTAATTTCTTGGAGCTTAATCTTCATCCGTCCATGAAGACTGAATTCTTCCCTGAAAGAATGCGTTTGTGGGAGAGACTGTTCCCAGCACCTTCAGTTCCACGCACAGTGAAACATTGAATCTAATAACTGAGAACCTTTTTCTCTGATTATTAGATTGATACTGAATTCATATACAGAGCGTAATGAAAATATGTAGGTGCTACTGTCACTTTGAATGAAATTAGAATATATTTGTATGTATATATAAAACATGAGAAATATTTTATTATTCTTTAATAACATTATGTTAATGTAATTGTTACATACCTAATTATTATCTAATTGTTCCTTGTAATTTAATACAATTATTACTTAATTATTTCTTGTAATTTAATACAAATTATTCGTACAGGAAAGTCTGAATTAGAAATGTTTTAATGATAGAAATTAGTTTTTAAATATATAGACTAATGAAATATGTTTAGGTGAAGTTCTAGATTTTTGGATCCGATGGTTGGAGTTTCACTATGGTTTCACTGATCTCCCAAAACTTCTTACCCATCGATGGATCTTTTATTCTATCAGGAAGGTTGGTTTCCTAAAAATAATAATATTAATAAATAATATCACCATTGAAATAAAAATCATTGGAATTAATCATGCAGTTGCTCTCAAAAGTATTTGTACGAGGATAGAAAAATTGTGTGTTATAAATGACTGTTTAGAAATTACAAGTTACTTAACATAAGTACGTATTTATTACATTAGTAAATCTTAACATTCATTATATTTGACGTATGCTCAAAGTGCCTTATCATACTACTGATTGCAATTAATTTTTTCTCAGGTATATATCTGCAATAAATATCTCATATTTACATATTTGACTTATAAATCTCAGCTGTCAATTACGAAAAAAAATTCAACATTTTTTACATAACACATGGAGAACATACGTACATATAACGTCTACTGTATGGTAAGTTTGAATACTTTCGTAAAACTGTATACAATTTAATATCTATCCCTATCAGAATAGTGGTTGTCTTATTATATGAAAATTCCATTAATATTTTTATATTTTTTATTAATTTGAATATCGGGAGTTTCACTGCATTTCTGGAAAGTAAACCGATCTATAGTAGAAACTTAATTTTTGCTTACACGACAGTCTGAGAAATATTTGCCAGAAATTCCATCGACTTCGCTGGACACTGCAAGATGTATCGTTGTTTGCGCACCTTGTTCAACCGTTTTGCAAAACACTTTTAACAGTAAGGTCAGTGCCCAAGAAAACGGCGGTGGCACCTTCTTCCAGATTCCGGTGTTTATTAGACCAGGATGAAGACAGTTGGCAGTAACGCCAGAACCTTCGAGACGTCGTGCTAATTCTAACGTAAAGACGATATTTGCATATTTGGAGACATAGTACAAGTAGGCAGGGAAAGATCTTACTGGATTTGGGTTGTTCAGGTTTAACCTTGCTAAAAAGTACAGTCCCGATGCAACAACCACTATTCGACTTGGCTTTGATCGTTTTAGTAGATCTGTAAAATAATTTGGTCATATTTTTGAAAGAAAGAAACGAAGAAAGAATTTAACCCCTAACTGGTATCATTGGACACTTGAAAGTCATAAAAATGTATTTTTGCTTAATTTTGAACTTTTAATTTGATACAATTTCTCTATCAGAGAAAATGATATCAAATTTTAAATTTTTGTTGATATAATAATGAAAATTACTGTAGTCTAACTTTACCATGATATCATTTAAGAGTTAAGAAAAAGGAGAAAGTATTTTAAAATATTGTCGTACCGATCAAAAGATGCGTGAGCAAGAATGGACCATAGTGATTCGTTGCCATGGTCATCTCCAGTCCATCTTCGTTCACTTCTTTCCTAAATACTTCTGCTGTTCCCGCGTTATGAATTAACACGTCCAATCTGGATTCTTCACGGTTTATTTGCTGTGCAAATTCCCTCACCGAGGACAGTGACGACAGGTCCAGTTTTCGTGTAACGATGTTTTCATTACCAAATTCCTTTATTAATTCCTCTGTGAAACAAGACAAGCTGATATATGTTTCCTTTTTTTCACGAAATAACATAATTATATGTACAAGTAATCACAAGTATACGTTGCATGTATAAATATTATATAAGCTGCTTTTATATCAATATTTTTACTAAATCTGTTAACTTCTATGCACATCTTTTAGATTGGTTTCAAATGTTGTTAATAAATCGTTCCTCGTCACAATGTTAAAAAAAAACTTCGATATCTTTTTATAAATAAATATAAAAAATTTTTTTCTATAATACATTTTTAAATATTTTCGTGAGTCATTATATAGAAACAAAAACTTATATTCCTCGTCTAGGTATTATTAACTTATTTGCTACTCTTTTTATACTTTAAGTTCGTGATGAAAGTGAAGTTTAAAACGGACCTTTCAATTTGTTCGCTGCCTCCAAATTTCTGCATGCCATGATCAGTCTTGCACCTCTTCTCGCTATGTCCTTCGCCGTTTCTCTTCCAATGCCGGATGTGCATCCAGTAATTATCACCGTCTTCCCGTCCATTCTGTTTTTGCTCTTGCACACGCCGAACGAATACTGCAGGTAAAAATATACCGCCAACAGGAGCAACAGCACGACGAGGAGTGCGGCTGCAATTACGCTACACAGCGTCGTGCAATTCACCATTTTCAGTAACATGATCTAAATGAGTAGTGTATGATGAAATTAATAATTAATAACGTTAGACATGGATTCCGAAATAATTCGCAATAGATGACAAACAGGTTTCTGACGTATAGGTTTTTTTCGAAACTACTTATTGCGCACTCAAACCTGTTTCTGCGCGGTCCTCTCTTGTGCGCTTTTCTTTTTATGAGATACATATAAAAAAAAAATGACCATCAAAGTGCGTAATATGAATAAAAAGTAATAAAAAGTTTGAAGTTTGAAGATTATTTTGCCGTAAGGTTTCCTGAATACCCATCGTCACATTACATACATACATATGTACATATTGCATCAACCAATTTCATTATACATGTATTGCACCATCTAATCACATTAGTTGATTACCGTCCATCGAAGTACATACGTTTTGACCATTAAGATAAAATTAATTTTAAAGTGAAATTAAAGGTAAATTTATTATTTATTCTATTTAGATATAATTTTTTATGTCTTTTGTTTAGACCCTGAAAATGAATAATCAGGACAAAAATAACTGATAACCGAACTACATCGTATCAGAAAAAAAAGTCAACTTTGAACAAGTGCAAATTTTCGTACGTGTAATGTACATATAATGTATAAATAAGTAAAAAATATTTAAAAATGTGTAAATTCATTTTTTTATTTAGAAAAGCAATTTCCATTGCGAGATTTTGAGTTATTTTCTATGTGAGACTTTTTTTATGCGGTCTCTATTCACCGCATAAAAATAATTTTTTTTTTCAAATGTGTTGCGAACTACTTGTAAAGTTTCGGAATTTCTTTTTGTGCGTTTTCTTTTATCCCCTGCACAAAAATAGGTTTGAGTGTACTACAGGTATGTTTCACGAGGAAAATCTTGAAATTCCATTGCGACGCGGCATTAAAGTCTCCCGAAGAAACGCCTAGTAACAGGTCGTCGACCGTGAACATGGATCGTTAGAAATATCGGACATTGTCGTTTTACCTCTACTCGTATGAAATGACGAATGGAAAATAATTGTTTCTCAACAATGTTTTTCAAATATTTATTATCTAAACTACAACTTTTTTTTACAAGGTAATTAGCACAATATTACGTAATTAATTATGTAAATAACTTGCAGGTATATTGTACTAATTAATAACACTATATCTGCAAGTTAATGCAGATCTTTCACGGAACTTGCCTCCTACGTCAAGATAGGAAGCGTTATGCGGTATTACTTTCAACGATCGAAAGACTGACGAATATGTTAATGTGATTACAGATAGAACAGTACGTACGGTCGAATTTCAAAGGAGCAACGGTAAATAGTGTCAAGCAGCGAGCACGAGAAGCCGGCAGAAAAATTCTGTTAATTTAACGTTGAATTATACTCACACACCAGTTGCTACCAAATTCTCATTCAGACCGGCTCGAGAGTCCAGGCACTAACACGCCGTTTCTACCAGAGTGTTGCCTCTATACTGACATTGCAATACGTGACCCTGCAGCAAGCATTTCCCCACTCTCTCGTTCTTCGTCGAGAACAGTGATGAGAGAGTGGCTTTTACGAGCCTTAATGTCAAGTTCCCCGTAGCCCGGTTCTGAAAAAGAGCTCGTTACATTTTTCAATCTCGAGCATCTTGAATGTACAGTTGTACACGCATTCACGTAGTTAGTCCGTGTCAAGTATGTTTCTCTTTTCCCTTTATAATGTCGAGCGTAGTCAAATAGCGTGCATATTTTCGTTTTGTCGTTGCTTTTGGCCGGTATGACGATTTTCAGAAGCAAAAAACTTCGTCCCCAGTGCAGAAATGATAAGCACATTATAAGTACATTATAAGCATTTTCCTTGGACATTGAAGCGAAAGAATAGTATTTAACTACGGAGTTTCGTGCGTTTTTAGATTTTCCTAAATTTTCCTAAATTTATTTTATTTTGGATATTTATTAATATTCAGACGCTATGATGTTTCTTTGCACGAAGGATTATTTACTACAAGTTTCGTAGAAGTAAATGTAAATTTATTTCCGCGGAAAACTTTCGTAATGACGCGATGATTAAATATTCAAATGTGCAAATATGAGAATCAATGAACGTTCGCGTTTTTTAAAGCAAATAAAGCGACAAATATTCGATTCTGTTCTATGATATTTATTTATTATCCTTGGCATTATTTCTCTACTTTTCACTTTTTCTTGAACATCATGTTTTCTAGCAAATTGCTCGGATTCCACAGCGTTCTCCAAGGTCTGTTAGATTGCATATTCACAGGTCTTTCAACTTCGTTATACTTTCGAGGTACGTAAGCTTGTGATTTAAGTTACACATCATGACGTGAAGCTCTTGCATTTTTTGCACTATTTTCACACGGACGTCAGTCTCCTCGTTTATATTCTTTTCGTTGGACGCCTTGGCATTTTCTTCCACTTTAATGAGCAGAGAAAAATATGTCGGAATTTATTTTTCACAAGAATTCATCTGTGTGCACATATTCTTAAGTTTCGTCCCCGTGTTTTAATTTAGATAGAGGCGTTCAACTTACAGAAATTTCGAAGTTGATTCGTTAATTGTAATTTCGTGTCTTGAAAGTAATTCCAGATGCACAGCCAACTTATGAACCATCCAAAGATAAAGCTGATCATTTGTTTAGCACGTGAGAATATTGATGTCTTAGAATCAAGAGAGTTCGAAGTTGGTTGAGCAACAGAACATGGCACTGATTCATCATCAGGTATGTTACCTAAATAATGTTATCACGCGTTTAATAAATATTATGAGTAAATTCCTACCGATTTTTAGATTATTAAATGTTATTGTTAAATACATTTTTAAAAATATTATAATATTATAATATTATTAATTAATTACACTAATAATATATGAATTAAATTACTTTTATAAAAATTGATAGGAATTTACTTATAATAATATTAATATTTGATATTCTAAGTAAACTCTTATCGATTTTTATTATAATAATTTATTTAATGCTTCCACTACCCTCTTCGACAAAGTCGTTTTGTGGTTGCTTTTGAGGAATCTGAAGATCAACTCCATCTTGCACGATTTTCTTTCTTATATCTAGCAACATATTTTCAGCAGCTCCGGGGTGACAATTCGCCAATTGATTGATAACACTTTTAGTTAATTTCATGTCGATTTTGCTTAGTACTTTCCGATTTAACATGTTCCAATTGTCTTTTTTTGCAGTTATACTGTTCACTGACACGTAATTATGGAGATCAACGTAACGAGGATAATATATTTTAAGAATTTCCGCTATTATTACTGAAGAATATAATTCTTAATTATTTCAGTTACTAATACCATTTCAGTTAATATTGCCTCGTATAATAACTACCAGCATCCGAAAGATCTCGTGATAAATTCTTTGTTGGTTTTGAAAGAGGAATCTTAGAGATCCATGCGTACAATTCTTCTACTTGATTTTTCGTGTCTTTTTTATCTTCATCGGCCATTTCTCTTTCACGTTCGATAAATTATTTTTACTGTTGTATTTTGAAATTAATTTGATAAACGGAATAACTATAACGGGAGAACTACACGAGTGTATCGAACATATTTTTTCTGTAACGCCGTGCAGAATTTTGCATAACTATGCATAAATGCAAGTTGTAGAAGAATTTATTACGATAGATCTTATTTTTCGATGATATTCGTTTGAAATATTTAGTTAAATATTGTCACAAAATTGACATCCTTTTATTTGAAGTTGGATGCTGCTGTAGAGAATCAATTTTTAATTCTGCATATTCGTTTCTTTAATCAAACATGCATCGATAGATGAACTATCTCGAGAATATGCGATATTTCTAAAATTTTAACTTATAATTGTAGAATTTAATATAGATAGATCATAATCTTTTTTCAGGTAAAAATGTACAGAAATCATTTAAAAATATACCCGGGAATATACGTGGCAGCAAAAAATATTCCTAGCACAAAAATCCCTAGTTCTTTTTTGTTCGTGCATGTTGCCGAGCCTTGTACAGAAAGTTTCACAGTATTTAGTAACCTGTATTGTTGCAAAGTAATTGTCATGGCTTCGGAACGGTATAGTTTTTCGTTAACAACTTTCAGGTAAATGTTATTACTTCTTATAAAAAATTCTTTGAGTTTAATAAGCAAATGTAATTTCGTAATAAATATCATCCATTTCCTATATTTTTGTAGATTAGTAGAAGTTTTCACTGGCCTAACCTATACATAAGATACACTCGTCAATTTATAAGCTTTATCATTGAATATATAATAAAGAGGAACATTTTTCTTTACACTCTTATTTATTTAACATTACTTATAAAAATTATAAAATATTACTTGGTCTTCTCTTTAACTAGAAGTGAATTGATTTCAACAAAGTATACAATGACTCGTCAAATATTTGTACAATATAACTTTCGAGGTACAAATGTCACATAATTTATTTTGTTACATAGTCCCTCTGGGAAACTGGTGCAGATAGAATATGCCTTAGCTGCGGTTGCTGCTGGGGCTGCTAGTGTTGGTATCAAAGCCTCAAACGGGGTTGTTCTTGCCACAGAAAACAAGCACAAATCAATATTGTACGATGAACACAGTGTGAAGAAAGTAGAAATGATTACAAAACATATTGGTATGGTCTACAGTGGGATGGGTCCAGATTACAGATTACTAGTAAAACAGGCACGTAAAATTGCACAGCAGTATCAACTTATTTACCAAGAACCAATACCTACCGCACAGCTGGTGCAAAGAGTTGCCATGCTGATGCAAGAATATACACAGTCTGGGTACATGTCATATACTTATTAAACTCTTAATTTATTAAAGAATTGTGCATAATTAACATGTTGTAAAACTATAGAGGAGTCAGACCATTCGGAGTGTCTTTGCTAATTTGTGGCTGGGACAATGGAAAGCCTTGTTTATATCAGTGTGATCCTTCTGGTGCATACTTTGCGTGGAAGGCCACGGCAATGGGCAAGAACTTTGTCAATGGGAAAGTATTTCTCGAGAAAAGATACAGCGAGGATTTGGAACTAGACGATGCCGTTCACACTGCCATTTTAACTTTGAAGGAAGGATTCGAGGGACAGATGACCGCTGATAACATAGAAGTTGGTATTTGCGATGCAAATGGTTTCAGAAGATTGGAACCTTCGAACGTCAAGGATTACCTTGCCAATATTCCTTAATTTATATATTTTTTATTTATCACATTATTTACAGTGATCTTTACGAAATCTACGTAAACTAGATTCTTATAATGAAATATTTCGTTAAAAATAAACAAAAAATATTATTCCGTATAATTCTGTATGACAATCCCTTATAGGATCTAATTACTATTCCTTTATTTGTAATTAATTTCTATCTTTATTGAAAGTTTATTAATTCGTTATATATTACAGAAACTTGTTCGAATATTTCAAATATTACGTGGAATCACGGTTTGCAGTTAAGTTGAATCGTTAAACGAGATTTTTGAATGTGTGGAAAATGTTATGCGATATTCGTCCGACAGAGCGCGCCACAGGCATTCATGTTGGTTGGGCGCGATCGTGCGCAAATGCGAACGAGTTTCGTAGTCGGTGCGCGACCGGCCGGCTGGTTTGTTTCGTGTGTTGTTACGTTGTGTTGTCAGTTCTCGGTGGCGATCGGTGTTGACAAAAAATCGACCCCAGAGCACGTGTCGGCCTTGTCAGGCTATTTCTCAACGGATGTGCGTAGGTGAGTTTACAATTGATTGCTGTTAAACTCGTTTATTATCGCGATGCTTACCTTGCCACTCGCGAGCGAGCTGCGTTTACCTCGTCGTGATATCGAGTCTCGTAGACACTTGTTTTCGATATCGAATCTATATTACGACGAAAATTTCCCGTCTACACGTGTTAATATTCGTAATATTCGCGTTTTCGACACGTGATACAACGTGGTATCGACATTCTCGACGAGAATCAACGTGTCGATGTCGCGTGTTCGTAGCGTTGCCGGTTATTTGTTTATGTCAGCCATTAGTCACGATCGGTCGACCGAAATATTTATTTACCACGTACGTGTGGCCCGTCTCGGGCCAAGGTCTTTCCCGATACATTCCCTTTTTATTTTTTTACCATGTTCAGATGAAATTCGTCGGAGACGACATATCTACGTTACTAATCCGAGTAACCATTCAAATCGTGTATCAGTAACGCGCTACTCTTTCGTCTACGGTAATTCGCTTATTTCTAATTGTTACGTATATTGAGAGAACGCGGTGTATGAAAATCCACCGTGAGAGCAGTGGTCGGAGGTTAAAATTAACCATCATGGATTTTCGATATTTACGTTCATTTTTATCTCGGGGGTTTTAATCGCAACGGTTGCGCCGGTTTATAAAGCCGCAAATTCGCGTTTCCAGAGGGCAGACCGCGCGCCTATAATAATTTGAAATCGCGAATCCCGGCTAATCCCCGATCATCCCTCGTTCCTCTCTCTTTCTCTCTCTGTCTCTCCCACCGTGTCTCTCTCCACCCCTCTTTTTCTTACTAACTCACTTTTCCCCGGCGTCGTCTGCATTCGAGGCGAACAATGCCAGACTTTAATATGACGCATCCGCAGACGCGTTTTCCACGAGTAACGGCGGCTGGCTTTCATTTACTGCTGCTCGAACAGTGTTTCCACGTCGGTACTTGAAGATTTCCGCGGACAATCATGCTCATCCAGAGAGAGAGAGAAAGAGAGAGAGATGGACATAGAGAGCGAGAGAAAGAGAGATCGAACGACTGGAAAGGGAAATTGTACGCGTTGTTGTGCGCGCGCGAGGGAGGAAGATGGCGCGGTGGGGTTGGGGGCAGGAGGGGTGGATAAAAAGAGACACATACAGTCTCGGGGAAGACGGAGCGCCTCGCTGTGCTGGTTGCACGGTTTGCAATTTTAATGTCGGCATTACAAGAGGCCAGTCAGTTCTTCCCTTCCAGCTGGCGAAAGCGCTGAATTTACATTTCCGCTTTCGCAGAGAATCTCAGGCGTGGTGCCGATGTCGCTTATTAAAAATTCTAAAAAGCCATCGAGCCCGTTTCCGTGTTCCCTCGGCTTTGTCTCTCGGTCTATTGGTCTCTTCGCGTCGCCACTTCTTCCCTTTCGCGTTTTGCTCCTTCGATCCCGAGTGTCTTCGAGATTCGACACCTTCGAATCCGCCATTCACTGCTCAACGCTTTGAGGCGCGAAAAAAATCACCGTACGCGTGCAGTTGTCGTTGATGAGACAATTTCAATTATTCGAAATAACGTTCTACCGTGCAGGTTCGAGCACTGAGAAAATACATCTCGTGAAAGTCAAACTGGTCAAGTCCATTTCCTTTCAATTTCATTCCATACGTACTCAATTCAATTTTTAAGAAACAAATGACTTACTTTCACGAGTTCATCAAAAAAGAATGGCAGATTCTAAGGTGAATTTAAAAAAACCGATCTTTATAATGTCTACTGCGTTTTTTAATATTTATATAATTTATATAATTAATATTATATAATTTTTTAATATTTATAGAGTTGATCAATATAGCTTCTGAAGGACTCAATGTAGATACAATGTTTTAATGAAACAACATATATATATATTGACCCTATCATTACAGTTACGCGTTGATCGAAACTTAATTAACATTCCTTGCATTTTTTTTTAAACGAAAAAGAGTCACTCGATGTTAGATAGAATGTCAACAAAAATTCGAATTTCTTCTACGAGACACAGCTTTTATTAATTTTGTTACACACCGCGGTAATTAAGGACACGTGCTTGATATTTCTCTTTAATATTCTCTTTGATTATTCTGATAAAAATTCGAATTTTTCCGAAAGAACGTAGCTTTCGTCAATTTGATCATATCTCGTGGCAATTAAGAACTCGTGCTTGATGCTTCGTTACCGTTTTACTCTCAAAAGTTAAGTGCATCTGTCGCGGCAGTTCGAGTCGTGTTAGGGTCTAATTACGGGCGTTTTCTTACCCCTTTCGCTCTCTTCCTTTCATTCCTTCTTTATCAGAGGTCAACCGGATGGACTTTACGCGTGAGACAAACAAAGCGAGAGTGAAATTACACGCGGGTTAATTGCGCGTTAGGTATGCAAGGCGTGACTCGCTTGCACGAAAAAAAAAAAAAAAAAAGAAAGAACGTAACGAGTCTGGACACTTTTGCGAACGGTAGCATAACGTCAATTTCATCGTGTTTGCATTCGTTCCCTCGCGACTTTCGACATAATTGGCATACCGATTGATTCGTTGGATCATTCTGTACGTCTGGCTCTCTTCAAAGATTAAATACGATATTTTCCCAGTTCGAAATGATGACCTCAATCGCATCCGTTTCTTCGGAATGTATATTTAGTCAATTTTTATTCTCGACGATTAATTAGTTTTATTTCACTTTAGTTGAAATGGAATCCGCGTTACAATTTCTCCGCTTGTACCAAATTTCTTTAGGTGTAATATAAGTTTCATCTTTAGAGCATCATAATTTGTTTAATTGATTCTCGCATGAATTGCACGCGGATTTTTATGCAGATTCATGTTTCTGGGAATGTGATTTAAAAAGTAGCAGCTGGTATAATACTTGAGTCGTTTATCTTGAAAACGGAGCAAGCCCATTTGACATAATGAAATTTGTACTTTTCTTGGTCGTCATTGATAAAGTGAAAACAATGTTTATTGGTACTTGTTCATATTTTTAATCTACTGAAAATAAATTTAATTACGAATATAAATTTAATACAAACCGCTTTTAATTCAATCGTAGATTCAACTGCAGAGCTTTAAATATTTCGCAATATATGAACTCCCAAAATAAATGGCCCATTGATGGTCAAACAAACCTCCATGTTTCTACGCCCCTATAGACTGGGTCATTTAGCCCTGAAATTTTACTCGTGAATTTCTTCAAAGTAAATTTTCATTCCTACTAAAAAAAAAAAAAAAAAAAAAAAGATTCATTACATATAAGATGGTAAAAATTTCATTAAGCAGCGTGAAAATTCTTTTACATTTTTTGGAAACGTGGAGTTTAAAAAACTTGAAAAGAAATACTAGGTACTAATCATTTTCTCAAAAATATGAAAATTCACAGTCTGTCTACCGATATTAATTAATTAAATTCACCCCTCATTTTTCACCCCTATGTACAATAACATTATCAAGCTCGCAAAGGTGAAAGGCTTTCCTCGACGAGAAAATGAATTTTGCCATAGTTCCTCCTCTCCTTTTTTTTTTCCACGAACGTTGGTAAGCTGTGTATAAAACCACGTATATCGAGAGCTACTATATATCTATCAAATGGAGCAAGTTCTTAAACTATGTCAGCGATGTTCGTGTCTGAGGAGCTTCGAGTTTAAATAATCGACGGTTAGTTCGATAATGATCGTTCCTCTCGTTACGGTTATAACTGGCGATATTAGGTATTCGCTGTTTATTTGACACGCTGCCTGCATTGCAGTGACTATCGATATCGAATAAACGTACAAATAGGAGGCTGTTATCCGCATATGTCCAATTCTCGGGCTCGCAGTAACGTTGCGCGACGCAAAGTGGAATATTAGGCCATCGTTAATGGACGATTCGTCATCGTTGGTTGGTTATGATGGTCGTTGAAAATCAATCGTCGATTATCGTGTAATCGTGTAACAGCGAACTTTGTTTCGCTGTAATAAATCAGCAGACTGCGGATTTTTCACGCGTTTGAAGATGCAGAAACATGCACGATGCGCATTGTGTACAAAAATAATACAAAATATCCAAAATATGGATATTCAATGTACGAAATGTGAAGTTGTTCTTTCAGAGAGAGAAAATAATGTATGAAAATCCACAGTTCGTCGTATCGTAATTGAATACGTTAGTAAACTATGGATATCTTTGTGTATTTATGGGAAATTAAATCAGAAATTATAATTGGAAAAATCAAAATTTTTATTACCGTGGATCTGTACTCTAATCTAATTAAGCAGACACTCCAAAATTTTCCAATCGAAACGCGTTATGGTGGAACAACGATCAAAATCCTCGACTCATCTACTCAATCTCGTCCCCCGTATCTTCGGGTTCTTAATCATTTAACCCTGCAAAAAAAGTTGCAACGTCACGGGGAACCATCTGTCGCGTCCTATAGGTTTTTCAGCGAGAGAGAAAGGAAGAAAGAAAGGAAGGAAGGAAGGAAGGAAGGAAGGAAGGACGCGAGACAAGCAATTTAGTCAGACATTTTAGTTTGGTGTCTCGCTTCCTCTCAGACGTGTTCACTTTCCACGTTTCGAAGCTTTGCCGAAGATAGATGACGAATACACACGACGAAAGTGATAAAAGATTCCTTTGATACTTTCTCAAGGTTGGCTGACATTTTCCATAAAGAATCACGGCTGTAATTTAACCCTCTAAGTTAGATCTTCGTTACACTTTCGTAAGTCTTCTCTTTGAAAACGGCGGAATGGTTAATGAGCGATTGTCAAACTCAAACTCAATTAAAGTCTCAACTTCTTCGTAGTTTAGTCACGCATTTTTCATTTCGTCGTCTGTTGATGACAACTGCATTTAATTCTTAGAGTGCTAGAGACCCTGAAGTATATACAACTACTACAGGAGATCTTGACTTCTAATAACTAAATTTAATGTGTTATTAACCCCTTCAACTCGATTTACTTTCAATGTTGTATTTATTCTCAGGCAAATTAAATAAAATTCAATGCTCCTTATTTATTTGTTTATTA